TGTTTTATCGTCAATAATGGTGGTGCGTAACCTAAGAGTTGTCAGGTTAGTAAGAGGTCTATTAAATTTTGCGGGTGGTGAAATATTTATCAATCACTTTTGGGGGCCACGGTACAAATAGCCAATAGGTCGCATGCTATTTCTATTATTCAAAGTAATTTTTATTTTTAATTTATAATTATTTCAATATTATATAATATACAGTTAAGTTCGACTTATTTGCAGGGATTAGTTCAACTAGCCTTAAAGTGTATATTATCCGCTAACCATATGATAAAGAAGCTATTTAAGAAGATTATGATTTATATCCTTATTAGGCACTTATTTTATCAATCATTACTACCAAGAATACGAAAACGTACTAATTATTTTAATAATCGTTTCGATAATATCATATTAACTATGATTTAATTTTAATGTAACCAAAAAAAAATGAAATGGGATTATTCTGCATATTTAGTGTCCAAGTTTCGATTAATGAACTAACGTTACCTAACTATTTTTATGCACTATGGCCACTATGTAAAAGTAAAATATAAAATAAAATTATTTTATGTTGTACAGTTTAATTTGTACGGTTGTGTATACCGTATATATACCTATATATTATTGTGCAAACGTCCATTCTTTGTCTAGTTGCCTTTTCGTCTGATTAAGAATGAAGAACAAGTAGTACTTCATAAATTTAACCGGGAGGCATAATTAGTTTAAAAAAAATCGCAACTGAGTTAAAACAGCTAAAAGGAAGAGTTAATAATATTCTTATTTCATATATTGTACAATAAATATTATTAATTAAAAAACGACGACCGGCCTTTGCATCTTTAATCTTTACCCCTTATATCAAATCAGTCGATATAGCGTTTATAAATACCACAAATCCCGTCAAAATAGTTTTCGTTTTCCTATTAAAATATTTTGAAATACTCAAACTTATCTATATAATATTCGACTATGTTAAAGAAAAAAAAATAATATACAAAATTATTAAACGCAGCATGACCTAAATTTGGTATTGTTGATATAATATGTATTATTTTTTTAAATTTAATTTATGACTCACTGGTACTATGTATATTATTTTCTGGTGACATTGAAAATAAATAAATATTTATTTTAATTTTAAAGAAGTATTTAAAATGTATTTTTACTAAGAATTAATATGCAAAAGTAAGTTACGTGTGAAGCTTTTGAGGGTAGAAGCCACCCATTAGTGACACTATCTATTTCTTTTTTTTTATAATTTGTTAATTTTCAAAACTAAAATAGTTTAATGGTCATTTATAGAAGATCGTTACACTATCTTCGCTTTAGCTGTCTTGCAGGATTTCCTGGGATGGAAAAGGTTGATAATATTTTATAAGAGGTTATAGAAAAGGTGATTTGTTACAAAACTTTTTAGAAAAATTTGGCTACATCGAATACTGCTGTTATTTTTAAGTCATTCGTGAGTGTAAGATTCAAAACAAAGGGAGGGGCATTAGTTATTTTTCTTAGGGAAATATATTGAGTAAAGTACGATTTTTTTGTATGTTTGGTTGTTATGAACTTTTCCCTGAATCTGGTAGGTTCAGATGAGTTTTGGAAAGGTTTTTTTATATCAGCAATTTGATTTTAAGGTTTGTGTGGTTATTTTTTTTTTTCAAATAAGTATAAATCACAAATTAAAAGAAAGCAAATTCGGGCGTAGGTACATACGGCTATAATATACAAGTCATGTTCCTTCGCGTCGTAATATTATTTGAGGTATACGGCCACGGTGCCGCGGAAACACGAAAAGTTATATTTTCCTACGAGAAATCAAGTTTGAGAATATTCACATTTAATATTATATTATAATTTTAAATTCGGGTACAACAATAATACGGTGGCATGTTCGAAAAGTTAGGAAACTCATTAACTATTTAACTCGTATTGAAATATGTTTCCAAACTTTTTAAATATATTATAACAAAATAATATTTTGATATTATCAAAATATCCGAACACACAAAATACGCCGGGCGTGTAATAATATTAAATTGAAAAGAATAATACACACTGTAGCAATAGGTACTATAGAGCGGTGTGTCATCAGAGTGAAAAAAAGAAGGAGAAAAAATGTCTGTTTATCTGTTATCATCGTATATTATTGTCTCTTTAATGATATACTCTGTGTCAACACTAAAGAAAATCACTATGACACAGGTATATACGTCGACGCCACCGCCACGACTGTATTCATTATCATATATCATTCACCGAACATCCAAATCCCTAGATATATTATCGCCGAGTCTGCAGCTGCAGCAGTATTACCTATACAGACGTTGTCGTCGCCGTGACCTTTTATCCTTTTATATATATATCTATTTATGGTTAATCCATTTTGCCTACCACCGACGCTACAATAACTACTCTGAAAAGATCTTTCCTCTTGTCGCGGTATAAATCACCTGTTGAGATATAAAATAATCGTCATCGTTAAGGTCGACCGACCCCGAAGTCCACGTGCGTCAACAAATTTTATGGTGCCTGCACCTTTTGTAATTTATTATTCTCTTACCAATCGCAGAAAAAAATATAAACTGATGATATACTAGGCTCTAGTAAATATATAGGGTATATGGTTACCTATTAAACTTAATCAGGATTCGAAGCTTTTTTTATGGGTGCGTTACTATTGCGTATGATACTATTGCGTATGGACCTTTTTCATTATTACGATTGCGTACATTCTACCTACCCAAACTTAGTGCAACATTGCCGTTGTTCAAAATTATAAAAATTTGTAAAATAACTTATTTTAGGAAATTATGGCTTATATTTGATACAATTTCATAAACGTTACTGTAACTATTATTCCCAGGCCAATACTTTTCGATAATTTATTAAAATACTATAAGATAAGATTAAATGCGGGTTATTATTTCGGATTTCCTGGCGTGTCGCACTTTAGCATCGTTATAATATTAAAACACGACCAACTTGTCATTCGATAAGCCTATATATTTTATATTGTTTTTAGTTGACTATAATAATATATTTTTTTTAATTGTATTATTATTTAAAATTTTGACCAGGGGCTGGTTATCGATACCAAAGTTTTTAATTTATAACTTATGATCTGTATTTTTATTATTTTTATCACGAAAAAAAGCCCAGAAAAAAAACTAAATATAAATGTGAATACGTGTACTCGTGCATACTATACTCCGAGTTAGTAATTACCGTGTGGCGTGTACCTACAACAAAATATAATATATTATAATTAAAATAATGTTATAAATTATTATCATGTGATATTTTTGTAAAAATATGAAGTATGTATAGTATATTATACGTAGCACTGATGTTTTTTGACTATAATTATTGAATAAATATAGTTCATATTAAATACCTAAGATGTTATACATAAGTATAACCCCTTATGTTTTTTGACTTATAACTTATATACACTATGTATTATGTACAGATGAGTTCATATCTATATTTAAATTTTTTTACAATTATAAGCTTTTTTTTATACATGTATAATTAATGGAGGCGGAAAAAAAGTCCACCGAAAAAAAGCCCCTAAAAAAATTGAATATAATAAACATAGCATAAACACATATACCTAATTAATAATGTAATTAAAAATTCATATATTATTATAGCTATTATAGGCATTTTTACATGTGGGACTCAATTAATAAGATATTTTTTTTACCTATTTGCTCAATGAAAAATTTCCAAAATAAATAATTTTATGTCTGAATATGGCTGATGTTTAATTATTATTTATATATAAAAAAAATTAAATATTTATATGAACTCTTCTATGCATAATATACAGCGTGAAGTTATATGTAAAAAACCATCAGGTGTATAAGTATAACATTTTAGGTATATCGTATATATATACTATATTTATACAAAACTTACACATGTTAATAATTTATGACATTATTTTCATTATAATATATCATATTTTGTTATAGGTAAGTTAAATACCAAATATCGTACATATTATTAAATTATAACCTATAAAATGAAAATAAAAAGCTGTTCGTTGGTAGAGTATCAATCGAGAACGGCTGGACTGATTTGATTAATTTTTTTTTTATAAATGTTCAAAATGTTCTGAATGAGGTTTAAACTGAAAAAAATTGGAAAAGTTGCTAAGAAAATTAAAAAATTCGGGAAAAACTGAGGCTTTTTTTCAATAGGATTTTTCTATAAATTTTTGTTTTTGTTTTTAAATGGTTACCAGGTTACGTATTATGATATAGTATTTTTGTTTATATAAATGAATGCCAGTTTTCACTGGTAACATATAATATAGTTATTGTAATTATGATTGGATTTAATAATTTTGATACTTGGACACAATATTTTTTACCTACATTGGTTTGTAGACTCATAAAACTACTGGACCGTATTCAATCAAATGTTATGTCAATAGATTCCTTGAGATTTGGAGGGTGGTCGTATATTATTTTTTTCACTTTTATAGATTGCTAAGATTATTGTTCAGTGCTTAAATATTGGTTACATATTATTAGGTATAATACTATTATAATTGAAAGAAATATGGTATATATATTTTTTAAATAACTTATTTTTGGCACTGTTAACATCAAGCGGGATAACTAGATAACTAGTAATACATGGAGTAGCAGCATCAACTGTTACACCTTACCTACACTATATTATATTATTAATTATTATACTACGAGTATTTAGTCACTTTTCGTGGTAGGCTGGAACAACCGATGTTCCATTTCCCCCCGAACAAAGGGTTAGTGCCTTCTGCGTGGTACATAAGAGGACATTTATTTGTGATTTTGTGACAACAATTTCGCGATTTATACGCCCATAAAGGATCGCTCCGAACTACTGTTTCCGACATCAGTGTCAGATTATTATCGGGAGTATTATGTGATCGACGCGAAACACCGACTTCTCTGCGTGGTCCGCCAACATTTAGACATTCATGATGTGCAGAGATAAAGCACGACAAACAATGATTATCTTACCTCGGGCGTGCAGACGTGATTCAGGCAGTAATAGTTGTCGTTGTCCGCGGAGTGACACCAAGTTCCTTCAGGGAAGTACGGATCGACCGGTAAGTTTGACACGTCCAACCTGGGCGTGTAGAACGACCCGGTGTCCTTGCGCCGGCAGAACACCGAACACCCCATCCACGGGCGGGCTGGAATAGTATAATAATAAATTATGCTTAAAATATAATATTATGTGAATAGAGTAGGTTTATTATTAAATAATAATTCAATATCACAAGAGACCGAGACGCCCGTATACAGAAAGGATTCAAATTGATAATGGTATTGTTACGATGATTTAATAATAATATTATATTTTGGCATTTCGCTTGAGATATAGTTTTTAATGATTTACATATTGTTGTAGTTGTAATAATAATAAAAATAAAAATGGAAATAATTATTGTGATCGGGTTTATAACGCTCCGTTAACAATATAATAATACTGGTATCTCTTATTTTATATTATAATATTTTACGAGAACTCCGAAAGCGAGAGTCGAACAGCAATAAACGTTTCTTTATAAATTCTGTGTGAATAAAACGAATTTAGCACCGTATAGTCATTGGATTTTTTTCCCGAACAATCCTTTGTGTAAAAATAAAAAATATATTAAGACTTATCAAGTGATCGTGTTTTTGAATATTTCATTATTATTTTCTTTAATAAAGAATAAAAACGGATACGTAAATACGTATCATAGTAATATCGCGTTAGTTGTACTCCTTATACTTAAAATGAAAATCTGACGAATATTGTTCGATGCTTGTGTACATTAAACTGAATTAAAGTCAATAAAATTGCCTATGATAAACATAATGTCGATTTTGCAGGAAACGTAAAATCCTTGGATTACGACCATGTCGGACCGAAATATAATTGATTATTTTGTTAGGCGGAGAAAATTGTTGAAAAGCATTTATATTTTAAGGAAATAAAAAAATGTTTTGTTTAAAATTCAATAAATGTAACTGTACCTAATAGTCTCTTATAAACTTATGTACTTGATTTGTATAACACTGAAGTTTGATACGTAACGAAACAGCTCATCAGTGGCCGATTTCCAACGACCTCTGGAATAGAAGGTTTGTCGAGAGAAGATTGATTCGTGAACCACTTAATGAGCTTTGTATTCGCGTCTACCTCATCATATTATTATAATCACGGAAAAGGTCTAACATTTTTTTTTCACTACAAATTTGATGATAATAATTGTTTACACCTCGTTCGGTGTTGCGTTCGCTATAATTTTGCAGTTGTTGTAGGAGTACGGATGTATATCGGGCGACGATAAATATAATAAAGATACCTACACCTTGATAACAAATGGTGTCGATTATTAGTTATAATATTGTATACTGATGAGTTTAAAGCGGTCCACGAACGACCTTTTTTTAGGAGCCCTGGAAAAGAGAAAATAGTAAATTTACCTTAATTTTCGACAAGATTATAAACAAACAAGGTCGGGCAAGTTAACTCATTTTTAACTCTGTAAATAAACCGAATAATATAGAAAAATGTAGATATTGGAATTCAAAGAAGTTTTTCTTTTTTTCTAACTTGTGAAAGTCACAACTTAAATAGATGAAAAAAGAAAAGTAACTTAGTTAAAAATCGATTAAATAATGTGTTTGGGCGAGATAACAATTTTTCATGGAAATATATTGTATTAAGTTGTATTGATAAACGTGATTTTGATAAATATTAAAATCTAGAAACAGATTCACAATTGAACTGCAGTCTACCTCTACAATGTTGTATTCATGACACATACAAAATTAGACATAATATAATGGTAATTTTTTTTATATGAAATAATTATTTATACAAAACAAAAAAAATACAAATATCTATGTCTAAATTAAGAAAACAGTTTAACTTAACGCTGCTATAAAATTGATTAACTGATAAGTATTCGCATATCATTGAAAAAAATTATTTATTTCGTTGAGTAAGAATAGTTAGTTACTTTAAATATAAAATTAATTCATTGTGTTAATTAGTTACTTTGTATTTTTTTAAATTAATATTATCTATTCAACTCGTTATAGATGATCAGCCTCGATTATAATATTTGATGATGTTTGCAATGTAATTCAATGTGACACTTCAATGGCCAGAGTCACCAACGAATATTATTATATTTTGTTAAGACAACGCACTTTATATGCGACGACAACGGTTCTAAATATTATCATCGTTACATCGTTATAGGATAATAACAAAAATACTACAACATTAAAATGTTTTACACAGAAATAATTTCAAACGCAGCCAGTTAAGCTCGCGTTACAAATTATACACACCCAATCGAACACAACAATCGTGTATTTGTTCAGTATATTAGCAAACACGCGAGCGCTTTTAAAATGTGTTTTAAAAAATGCGACTGCGATGTAAGTAGTAACTTACTTATAATGTTACTTCTTTTAGAAAAAATTAGACGAGAACTAAATAATGTTAAGCGTACAAAAAACAATACTGTGTACTTAATACGTCTTTTTTAAGACTAAGTAAATATTGTTTACAATTTGTGCATCTTTCAAAGTTTAAACTTATACACGGCAATACGCGTGTTGTCACATCATAATAATATGAAACAATCAGAATCTCATTTTCATAAAACAACAATCGTAAGACTTAAAGAAATAATCACACATTTGTTTCGACCGTATCAATATATTAAGTAATCAATACTCATTCTAACCTATCAACAAATTGAACCTTTCTCCAAACTCACCGATAAATGGAACACACGGATCTGAGAAATTAATTAACATCGAGCAAACAAGGATAGGCATTTATACATTATTATATATAATACATCTATACATCTAAGGCGGTATCACCTGCAAGTCCTAGTACTACTGTGACTATACTAATTATACACTAATTATATACTAATTATTTATATAGGTACTAATTTTTTTTTTACTATCCGTTTTTGGAGTGAAACCGTCGTTTTGTTCTGCTGGATTGTTCATCGAAATCGTGTTAATTTAAAGTAGCGCGCATGCATTACGCAAATACATAATATTTGAAATTCGAGAACCACTAACTACATTGATTGCACTAACCATCTTCGTGAGGCGCCTGCAGACCCGAGTACTCCTTGTCCAACGCCGGCAGTATGGATGCCAACTCCTTGCACTTGGCCGTCGCGTATTCCGCGGCAGATATCTTTTTGGATTTGTGGCACGTCTAAGAGACACAAGACGAATTATTGTTAATATAAATCCATCACTAATAAATTCATTACGATCACGTCGTGGTTTGTAATGAATCAAAAAATGGTTTGAACCAGTGATTCTCAAGTTGTTCAAAGTGAAGACACCAAAATTAGGTACCTATTAAATTATACCACTACAAACATTTCGCTTAAATAGGTACCTAAATCGTGCGTAAGTTAACTTAAAAAATAAGTGGTTTAAATCGTGTGTTTAGGCGACCCTCATAAATAATTAAATAGTCAGCCAGACCCAGGTCGAGAATCGCTAGTATGGACTAGAATATTAATATTGGTATATAATATTATAATACACCTTGTCGTCTTTGCAGAGAACGGCTTCGTGTCTGGGCCCCTCGCATCCCTCGTTCGTGTTTATCGGTTTCGGATTGTTGCACGTTCTCGTCCTAGATCTGAAACCTATAAACAAACGTGGTACGTCGTCGGGGCGGCGCATTGTTGTTACGAAGCGATGAATAAAAGTGTGGAAAAATAAATAAACAAAAAAAAACCCACATACCTTTTGACTTATGTATACACCCCGACGTACACTCGTGCACCTTCCACAGACTCCATCCACCTTTTATGATCTTTTTGGGTTTTTTTGGTTTGCCTTTAACGCATTTTCCCGCCTCGCACCACTGCGTTTGAAAAAAAATCGACAACAATAGGTTCAATCCCGGGTAACCCGTAAAAAGCTTTTTCAATTTAGAGTGGATTAAAAAAAAAAATGTTCGCGTCAAATCGGTTGATCGAATTAAGCCAAACCATATATATCATTATATGTACAACAACCTATATTTTCTTTTCTGGCCACACTACGCGTAATATAACATATAGGTATGCTTCGTCATTTGCAAAAAAAAACATGTCCGTACGACGTCAATACTACGAACCGTGCTGTATCTATATTACTAGATCAATCGATCTATACAGATACAAATTAAGTAAAATTACCTACATAATCTTATTTTTGTTTCTCATTTTATAAAATATTTTATATTGTGTTCTAGAAAAAAATACTATTGGTCACAACTATTATAGTTTTTAGGGCTCGAGACTATTTGTATACAATCAAATAATATGATCAAATAAGACGCATACAAAATATTTCCTCACCAACTTAATTATAAGTATTCAAAAAATCGAACCAAGCAATCTCAAAAATTGTGAATCTCCATAAACTCCAAATAATGAAAAAATAGGTTCTCCCCTAAAACTTTAAATGTTTTTCTCTTATATTATAAAATAAAATAATAGATATTTTCGCATTAGATTTTTCTTACGATCACAAAAGCTAATTTAAGTGACTGTGTTGACTCACATTATGAAATATAAACAACAAAAAAGCAAAAAAAATCCACCAAAATAAGCAAAACTAAGCACTTTCAAATTTTTCGTAGTAATATGACATACATTTTCATAGCACTCTGCTAGATTTTATGTCAAAACAAAAAATAAGCAAATGCTTTAAGTCGCAAACCCTAGTAGAAAATGATTACACTCTTTCTAAAAAAAATAAAAATGTTAATATAAATATTTTTTTTATAGCTGACAATATAATATAATAAAAAAGTTAATATATTATGTGCAATATAATATTGCGTATATTATATACAGCAATAGTTGTTTTTTTTTTATGGCAGTATATTGTAGGTATAACAATAATTCTACATTCAGGAATTTTATTTATACGTTTTGTTATAATATGGTATAAAATGACAAAATAATAATTTTCTGACATATTTTATACAAATTTAAGAAATACGAGTAATATAAACAAGGCACATGGTCGTGCTTTGTAGTTTGATTTCATTATATTCGTTTAATATTAATTGTATAAAAAATGTAACACTGTAAACATTTTTTTACTAAATTCTCTGCCTACTCTTAATTCTTGCTATTAGGACTTAACGTCTTCAGTAAGTCTGTGACGTATGTGAAGGTTGACCAGGAGAGTTAAAGCGATTAGTTTTTTTTTTAAAATCAACTCTATATAGTAATTCTACTTTTTAACATCAATAAACATCTGTTTTCAATATAATATCTAATGCTAATCTGACAATTATTGTATTACTATAATTTTACAAAAAAAAAAATGTCTATATCGTCTCACTGAATACGTTACTGGCTGTAAGTAATAACCGTATCGGACTTATTTTTGCGCGACGAGGACTATTTTGTTCTAACATGCACAACGATGAGTGTTTCACCTATAATTACCATTTACCAGCACTGTTTTACGGCGTCTGGAAAGCAGAGCGAGAGAGAGAGAGAGAGAGAGAGAGAAACATTTAAAATGACATATTACCACGCGCCGTGTATAAATATGAACAATAATATAATATAAATATAAATATAATTATGCGTATAATTACCGAGCTGGGTCCGCACGTGGTTCCTTCTAATGCTGGCCCAGCAAAATAATATCCAGGTCGGTTTGGCGTTTCACATTGCAAATTTTCACATATATCCTACAAAAAATATAAAATTAACCTCGGGGCGTTCAAAATATTATTGTCAATTTTATCAAGATAAATATGCGTATCTCCGATACCTATCTCGGTGCATCTAAATATTGTTTCTAGAATTATATACATACAATATACATACTATGGTTAATCACTAATCCATTAATTCGTGAATTATAATATTGTGTATTATAACGATCCAAATAGCGGTGTTCGTATTTTTCCAGTAAAAATGTATTCGATTTGACATGACCAAAATGTTGTATAATGTATATGCAACGTTTTGAAAGAATCGGTAGGTTTAATACTAGTACATAATTTATAATATATTCAGAGAGCGATTTGATAGGTCCACTTTTGTTTTACTAGATATTTTTTCATCGGTTTGTGTAAACTTTTGTCGTAAGATTTTCGTTACGGTTTTATTTTTTATTTGAAAGGGCATAACACATTTTTTATTCAGGAGCAAACCGTTTTTCACAACAATTGTTATTATTATCGGTTGTTGGACCGCCAATAATATGTAGTATAATATTTATCAAAGTTTTAAACTTCAGACGAGCCACCAAGTGAATAGTATAGTATAGTGCATAAAAAATGCAAGGGACATTCCCAGCAGGTACAGCCATTAAAATGTGTGTACTTATTTACTCTTCATTTCTAAAGCTTTAAATGCTTGTACATAATAAGGGTAGGTATTATTATATACACTTGCAATGTTAAATGTTTTTTATCGACATTTTATAAAGACATTGTGTTTTAGAAAATTAAAATTAAAAAAAAAACAACCGAGACCATTAGACGGAGTTGAAAACCTAAATTAAATTTCATAAAGTTCAAACAACGCGTTTAAACGGTTAATAACGTCAAAAAACATCAACAAAAGTACATACAAACTCGTGCACGAATATGGGTTTGTAGAAAGTATACTCTCCGACTGAATTTTTGCGGGGAAATCGCAGAACAACATAATAACGGCGCAGGAAAACACAATCAAAGTAATACTATAGAGTAGTAATGACGAAAAAAAATCGCCCGTAAATGAAAAGTTACTGCAGACGTCGTTCAACAATACAATCGAGCTTTTTATGGAATGACCTAACGTGTAGGTTAAACGGAAAAACGCGGTACGCCAAGGATATTATATAGGTAGGTATAAGATGCCTGCAAAGTGCATCGTCCGCATCGCGCCAAGGAGCGGAAACGGTTTCTTCGAAAAGGTACTCAACAAACTTTATGTCAATTACTGTACTGTTCTGCCAACAGTTTGTCCGCATAATATGATCGACGCTGAAATGGAAATACAAAATTCAGCTGTTGCTACTACAACCGAGATAAACATGTGTCAGACCTCGTAATTATATACTTATTTTTGGCTTTTAGTGAAATGAATAGAACCCAATATCTTATATATAGCTACTAAAATATGACATAATATTCCATTCGTCATTTTAGGGCTCGGTGTCGAGGATCAAACGAATGATGGCGTATATATGCGATGATGGTGTATAGCAACTGCAGGGGTCACCTACCTATGACTGCCATCAGAGAACTAACTTTGTGTTTTTCACAGAAGGCAGATTTATTTTTATTTGATGACAAATTAATTGAGATTTTTATTAATTTTAATTGTATTATTTGATTTCGGCCTCATATTATTTGAACACCCATATTAATGTACATTGCATTTTTAGGTCTCGAAAACGACGAAAACTTCCTAACTTCCGAAACTGGCCAAAATAATAATTGTCGATCACTACAGGTGTATAGCATGTGATATACTTAACAATACTTGACATTCAATCCAATACGTTTACAACCATTTGGGATTTTAACTGATGATTCTATTGATTTAACATGTTTAGTTTTTATACAACTAAGAAAAGTACCATTAAATATTGTACACACGTAGGTCCTCACAAGGATTTTGGAAAGGGCCAAATATTATTTTTGAAAATTACTTAAGCGCCTCATATATTTTTTTTTATTGAATATAACGTATAATACGCAATGATATTTATCAGTTCGAAACAAATAATTTACATACCCTAAAAAACAAACCATACGAATCATTAGAATTATTAGTTTAATAAGAAAAACATATTAGTGTATGCCTAAAAACTGTATTCAGTTATCATTTGATGTTACTTTGAAGCTGATCGCTGGAACCTCTCTGTTTCTCTCAAAATATAATAGAACTAAAAAAATAAGAATTTTTATTTTGTCATACAGTAAAATAAACAGTTTAATTTTAGTGTGGGCTGCGAAGTGTGTATCACTGATGATATGATGATGTAGACTGGCAAAAACTTGAGCGCAGCTCTTATTTTTTACAATCTAGTAACTGTGTACATTAAAAAATACGTGGTGAAAACCCCCACCCAGTCCTATTCGTATATTAATTCACGTAGTATCGCCGTGCATCACAATATAACCTCGTTTAATATAAAACCGGATGATACGGACCCTCTTGCTTAGTCTAGATATAGAAAAAATAAATGTAAACAAACCCTCTATACCCGTTCAAGGCTTCATGTGACGCCTGGATAGGGTAAAAATGCATACGTATTACATTTTATGTTACGATGGCATTATCATAGGTAAACATAAAACAACAATAAACACTATACATATTTTATTATATACAAACGAAACGAGTTATAAGAGTTATAATGTAAACAAATTCGCAAAAAAAATTGATATAACCACAATTATGAATGTATTAAGACGTATGCCAAATGAAGTGTTACGCTTTCAATGGTCATCATATTACTAATATTATATGCCAATATGCCATCTTTAGAACAATTATCTGTTCTACACATAATTCAATAATATTATCGTTGATTGTGTATGCGATAGATGTATAATTAATTCATTTTATCCTCAACCTCCTAAAACAGAGGTCGATAATAGGCGGGTTACTTCCACATCCGGACCACGAAGATTGAATAATTGGACCACCAAAAATATTTTATTTGAACGATGATTTTTTTCTTAATTGTCTCTTTGTAAACCCAAAATAACTAAATAACTCAAGGAATGAAAAAAATGTTCTGAACCCCGACATATTTTTTTTCAAATCATCCGGACCGAGGGGCTTCTTCATTTAGGAACTACAAACTGTCTAACCCTACCATAAGGGGTATCGACCAAATACAGCAAAATATATAATGTTTATTTATTTGAACAGATAGATACCAATTAGTAATATTATTGTATTAAAAATTTGAAACACTTTGATAGTAATAGAAATAATTTGTACCTACATGATTAAATTTTTGTTTTGAAAACAGATCTTTGTATTGTTGTGTAAGTATTTTTTTTTAAAGCTTAACTAATTCAAAAATCGAACCACAAGAGTTAATTATTAAGGATTTGTGAAATTAATTACTTGGAGGAACTGCAGGAGCTATTGCAGCTAATTTTAAACCTGGGATGCCTTTGCCAACTACCTAGTACGCTGAACCATCTCTTATATGTAAAACCACTCCTTCGATGTACAGATATCATAATAATTTTACAAGTCGGTTAGAAACTAAAATGATTTCTACGCTTATCATGCTCCAGATTGTGAGGTAGGTATTGTCGTTAAAATATCGGAAACAGTAGGTGTGCGGAAAATATTATTTTTCCTAACGACGTGGGATCACAATTTTTATTTCCACTATAGTGAGCAGGCATGCGGTGCGGGAGGGTCGAGTCGGAGACTATAAACATGTTATACACTAGGCGTGTTTGTTAAACGAGGTGTTATTGCATTATATTATGGCCGTTGTCGTGACGACAAAACTTACTTCTGGCTGCTGTCGCGACGAGTCCAAATTCGTTTCGGTGCTCATTACCCGGGCGTCGTTGTCCAATAACAGCAGTTCGCATTGTTTTTTAGCGTCCCACGCTTGGCCAGGCTTGTCGCCGAATTTGTTGTGATCCAACTTTTGGACCGTGGCCGAATGCCGACTGCTGGACTGCTTGAAGAGACATTCGAGATTGCTGGAGCAAAAAAAAATTGTCAACAGAAAATTATATTACGGTGGCCCTGCGTAAAATAATTATAATAATAACGATAATGTATATAGTTCAACCAGGCAAGTCTGCTGCACAGGGTGGTTGTATTATATAAATGTTGTGTATTTTAATATGTCTCAGATAAACGCGTAGTCGTTCGGAAAATCGTGAACAATTATTATTCGTTTCGAGCGAACAAAATCGACCACAGTTAGAATGTTATTATAGCGCGGCATAACAATATCAATTAAGTAGGTCACATTTTGTGGTGTACCAAATTTCTAGACTATTAACATTGCACTAGTAAACAGTTTTTTTTTAATATTTTCGTAAAATAGTATAATTTTGTTCAAGTTATAGTTTTTTCTTCCTTTATTCGTAGGTGTACCTTACATAATATTTATTGTGATCGGAAATATTAAATTGTTTTTGAAATTATAGTGAATTGAATAAGATAATATAAAGAATTAAAATTGTATAATATATAGTAATATGTAAGTACCTAGTTCTAGTACCTATCTAAAAAATATGGTTGAAAATATTATGGTTTGGTTAAAACGTGGATAATATCACATAATTTTCAGTAAATTAGAAATATATAAAAAAGTTCGTGTTCGTGATATTTGAGTTCGAAAAAAATTAATTAATTGGTCCATAAACATTTTAATTTTATACATGAAATAAATAAAATACTGATTACTGATTTTATAAGTAGATATTGAATGGACAGCTATCTATCATTCAAATTCTCTTTGACTTATTAACTGTATAATAATATAATTAATATACAATTAATTTAATAATATAACTATTTTATATTTTATATTTCGCATATATTTATAGTGTACTTTCATATTGTTTTTTCTAAAATTATTGATGCTTATAAACCTGAACATCGCTATCACACAAGATTAAAGCATGGAGTAAATCATAATACACCGGTTAATAAGAAATTGTTTGGTGAAGAAAATATTTTATGTGCATTATATTATGTTAGTCTCTTAAGACGTTTAAATGTTGACGCGTTTACTTTTTATAATAAAAAAAAAAAATTTTAACTATGTAAATAAGTGTAAATGTTTTATGTATTAAATTTTATTTTATACGTTACACTGAATTTAGCATTTTAGATTTTTCATCTATGTTCAGTGTTGTTTTAAATTATGTTAAATTTATTTTGTATAACTGTTTTTTAACTATTAGCAGTTTTTTCTTTCACAAGCTTGCGTTTTTTGACAGCTTTATCAAAATACCTACTATTTATTTTTTTGTTTGAAATTCATTTTCACCGAATACCTATTGTATAATTTACTTACTTTGTAATTGATAATGATTCAATAAATATTTTTACTATTATTATTACTATTAATTGCTTGATACTAAAACAGTTTTATTTATAGTTGACGACTTATCTCAAAACTTTGAAACAGTTAATTAAATTTTAAAGTAAATTATGTAACGTAACAAAAATGCCTCCTGATAATGAGTAGAATATATGAAATACGCCGCGTATACTATACACCTAGTATCCACCGCACCACCACCCGCACACCACACCACCTCTGTTCGCAATCACATCGCAGGCGACACCTTAATCACAATACCCAACTAATCTAATCAATGTTAGAATTATACTTTTCCCACCACCCGTTTTTTCAGCGGCGGCGACCGGCTATTGCCGGCCCGTGTTCTATTATTTTTTTTTTTCGCTTGCTGCTGCCGAACGAACAAGTTCATATTTTTTTGTTTTGATGAAGCTGCCTTATTTGTGGACGATGGAGTAGCGACAGCTGAAATCCTCCCCGGCAATGCCGGCGGAAAGACGGGCGATACCGTATGTGTGTACTGGTAACATAAAATCTGTACATATCTGGCTGGTAAACATTTTATTTATTATTGTAATTTATTATCGTTGTACATATTATATTTCGCCATGTTGACCGGTAACCGTCCAGTGGAGCCATTGGGGTCTAGGCATGGTTGTTTAAACACATTTTTATTATTATACTATACGTATCTGTTGTGCCTCGTCATTTGCTCGTTGTGTAAGCTATTTTTATTATGTCCGAGTTTTACGCCCTGTTGAGCTTTCTCGGCACCAACTTCCAATATATCATTTTTTGCACATAACTTCCGTGTCTTGAGTTATTATTATTATTATTAGTATTACCCTCGTTATTAACTCTTCCTGGTGTATGCATTTATTATTGTGAATAATCAAATCCACGGTGCTCCGACCTATCCAGGTCTCGGCTCGTGGTTGGCGACCTTGCTAGAAAGCGGCGGTCGGCCACGGGGGCAGTTCGATTCAACAGTTTTGTTGGGTCGGTCCACGATCGAACTGTCACAATTATTGTAAATGTAATTATTCATAGGCTTCATTTGTTTTGAATTATATAAAGTATTTTTAATGATTAACATTAATAAGCTATTTCAATAAATTAAACACCCTATCAATTATACATTATATATTATACATTATATCAATTATGTATTTTTGGTGAGATCGTTAATAACATACTTTGTATAAACAAATTGTGGACGGTTCCTGAGTTTAAGTCAAATTATTGGAATTGATAACAAATTAAATGAAAATTAATCAATCCAATATAAATTTGTTTTCTTTAGGTACGTACTTATTTAATTGTGTATGCACAAAATGCTGAACGTATTTAATCATTCGGGTACATGTTAGACCATGATCATCACCCAGTTATCAATACAAAAATTATAGGAAACATGGTAAATCATAAATTTTATTCAAAATCAAAATCACAGATTAATTGACTTACTTGAGATTTGTTGCAACACGTGCACTACATTCTGACCATAATAATTCGCCAGTAATCCCTCTCGATGGTGACATTATGAACCCTTCTTTCGGACAATTGTTCGTATTGCCATCGTGATGCATACCTAAACTGTAATGAAAAATGGTTTTAAGGTCAAGAATCGAATGTTCCTATGTAATGTGTCCATTGTTCATATTATTTCATATTGAATTTTATAAGTAACATTTAATACAGTAAAATCCCTGGATAATATCAGTTGCCGTACGTCATTTGCACATCGTCTGTTTACCTGACATAAGTGCCAAAATATCGAACATCAAATGTACATCAATATTCTGAACAATAGAAGGGTATGAAAAAAATATTATAAATTTTTCGCATATAATGTTTATGGATAATGAATAATTTAAGATTTTTAAGTCTAAAAATAATAAAAAAAACATACATTTACATTTTTACTCAAAAAATAAAAACACAAATATATGTATGTAGTTTAGAAATGAATAAAAAATGAATTGCATACAAATCAATTAATTAAGTACAAAAAACAATACTATACGTACTTGAATACTTAATATATTGTCTTGTCCCATTATTTTTACCAAAGTAAACCTATTTATGTCACCGGTGGTATACTTAAACCAATGTTTTTGATTGTAGTCAAATGTTTGACTTACACAATATTACTACGGTACAAATATATTTTAAAACAGAAATATCTATACAATATTCAAACCTTTTTTATTTAGAGATGTATACATTTTAAGATTTAAGTTAGAAAAAAACTTGAGGTTTTGGGTATACACCTTTTTTCTGTTATATTGTTAAATAATATAAATGATGTGTGACCTTTTAAACGGTTGATGAGCAAACCATGTAAAACCGAAAAATTGAACGATGCTCAATTGTCTTACAAGAAAGATTAAAATGAATAATAGTGATGCTCAAACGACATCCGAAAATATCAACCACCCGGGAGGGTGATATTACGATTATAATAATAAATGTTCTTCTATTTTATACTACACGAAATTTCAACTATTAGATTATGGTGACCTCTTCTGCCTACACTATTATTTTAAAATTGATGTGAGGTTTTTGATTTATTGATTTTAAAAATATTGAATATGAATCACTTTAAGTAAATAAAAATAATTTATACACATAGAATAAACATGGCAAAACGAACACATCTCATCATGTTATAACATCAATAATAACATAAATAATATACATATTATTATAATACAATATATGATATCAATAATAATTTATTATAAATTAAATTTATGAAAAATACGTTTGTAAGTTAAACTTCTTTGTTTATTGAAAATACATGTTTCAAAAAATACAATTAAGTGATGAACTTGATGTATATTAAGACAACCCTTTATTTTGTATTAACAGTAAGAAGTATTAAAAAATCACAATTATGCAAATACAATACACATACAATATTATCTGGAATCTCCTCCACTTCTCTCAGTGAGCGTACTGTCTATTGATCAACATTTTTTCAGATCAAAGTTCGCGAACATAACTCAAAAAATAAAGCAATAAAGTACTGATCTCTTCACTTATAACTATTTAAATTAACTTCCTCATCTTTAGTGTTTGGAAAACTATTATTACATTTTATTATGTATTTTTATTTTTTTATTGTAATTTTCATATAAATTGCTTAATTAGAGCGATAGAACAAAATATATTTGGTCATTTGAGTACTCTTGAAAAACAATCAGTAATTTGGATAAATCGTTAATCTGGAATATAATAATAAGTCTGAATTCTTCCTGATTATCAATATTCTACCTAGTATAAATGTGAATTGTTATAATATTATCGTGTCATCAGATAGATTCTATGTTAATTGATTTGAATCAGTCTTCTCCGGGATCCTAAAATCTGTCCATTATTGAATAATGTTTAGATGTTTAGAAGTTAAGAGAGATTTCACTATTAAGACAATACAGTTACAGGACTATCACTGATGTTTCACTATCTCTTATAATCACAAATAAACAAACAGCGAGTTAACCAAGTTGGATAGATGAATATCAGTGCTGCAGTTGTAGTTACCAAAGTGTAACGAATAAACTTAAAAAAGACATAACACCGAGAAAAAATCGTAAAATTGTACCAATTCAATAAACCTTATGTAGATACGTCGACGGGAAAACTATTGATTTAATTGTTAATACAAAAGTTTTATTTTTAAAACAGTTTACAAAAACACGTAAATTAATATTTATGCTTTTATTACAAATTACATAATATAATAAAAACGCACGAAATGTTTTTATTTAGTAAAATATATTTTAATTAAATAAATGTACAATGCAGTTAGGTATACGTATGAATAAAAACAGGAAATAAAATAATCGAAAATTCAAACGATTCGAACACACAGTACGAGAATAAATTTTATTGTTATTCATTAATGGCGTAGGTATTCATACTTGTTGGATCGGAAAAAAAATTAAATAAACGAATAAAAAAAAAACCGCATACTACTTGATTAATTAATTTACAACCCTTTATAATATTATACGCTTCTCGATTATCGTTTTCTACGTCCGTTGAATGTTTCAACCAGATTAACATATATAAAATCAATATTATATGGATATGTACAGTGCGCATAGTGGGTATGTATATTATTATACAAGCAAATCGGCATTCCACACACTGTCAATATGTGTTAAAAAGAAACTAGAAAATTATAGCAGAGCAGACGTGTCTTAAAAATGTATGTTTAATTATATTATTGTTGTCTAATCCCGACGAGAGAAACTTTTATTTTTTGATTCATTTCGCGAGGCCGTCAATCCAAATGTCGAGCGACAATTTTATTGGAAAATTTCAAACGGAAACAGTCGATCTTAAATTTATTGGCTTTCGATGAGACGTTTACACCCGTATTGGCTGTAAACAATCGAGCCGATCACGGTCGCTGACATATTATTAATAATAATAATAATAATAATAATAATCATAATTATAATAATAATGGTAATAATATAATATCAGTTTAATATTTTACGTAATACGCGTAATCAAAAATGAAAAAAAAATGTTTCCCATAGGAAACGTCGTCGTGGAATGTTTATTAATTTCGTGCCTTGGAGGACGGACGAAATATTGTCCGATGATTAATTTCTCCTGACTAGTAAATCGATAAACAATATAATATAATATTCTATTACGGAAACACTGCACCGACGACGTGCTATATTAATTATTATTGTCGTTACTATTAGGTATTGTAATACTTTGTCATTTCGCGTTGATGTCAACGCCGCGCAGTTGACGTAAAATGTTGGGAATCCTGGCAAAAAAATGTGTCTGCAGATATTTACAATAATATAGAGCAGCGCATAAATGATAAATTGATAAATAAAATCGCAGTTAAGTAAACTAATAGACATGGAGATTTTTTCGTTATTTTTTTTTTTACATTGCTTGTAAAGAGTCTACAACAGAGCTAATCGTTATCCGTTCTGGCCAGCCAAAAAATCTGCCTAATATACATATTTTGATGTCTGACCTATATAAATTTTTATATAGTATAAACCTTGATTTCGGACGAATCTGTGCGTTGGCGGGTTCCGGGTGGTACATTTTAAACGTAGCTACTGCGCAGGTCCGCGGGCGGGTTTCGACAATAATTAAGGCCGTCGTTTCGAACATCGAATAAACATTCGAACGCAACATAAACATTCTGGTGTTATTTTATGAGGCGGTAGGGTCATGGCAAGACCGCATACGAAACGTTTGAAATAATATCGACGAATATAATATAGCAAAGGGACTAAAATAATATTATATAAACGTTGGTTACGCCACTTGCTAAAAAAAAATGTCGTTGCTGAGGGACAGTATTGCATCGATTTCATGAGCTCGATTTACACCTAGCTATTATATTATTTACTATAATAGTAGCTGATGATCTATTATATAAAAAAATAAAGACATAATAATGATAATATATGAAAATCCACATAAATTATAAGTACGATAGCCCTTTACTACTCCGCTACATCTTTAAAACCCGACGAGGGAAAAACGTAGAGGTTTACGTGTATAGATCTTATATGTATAGAATATATACCAAGTATATCTGGTACATCGCCGACGACGTGTGTTCGTCGCCGCCTCTCGAGTGAACCTCAAAAACATTAAAACCGAGCCGTTAATACGATAGTGTATAATATGTTTTTAACAGTAATTAATTATTCACGGGTCTCTCGGTCTTTGACGACGGGTAATATATGTATACACCAGGAGGGGTTCGTTTTTTCCCTCTTTCCTCGTCGTCGTCGGATCGGAGTGACGATGAGAGTTATTACGATGACGACGACGTAAGCGGCACAAAATGATTAAATTTTAATTTAATCCACTTCGCACTACTGCAAAAGGTTTTCGAAAGACATAATAAACGTGGCGTTTTCGGGAGTTTTTGTTCCGTCACGATTACGCATGTAATAATAATAATATTAATCAGGGCGAGTTCTCATCAAAAATGATTTTCATTTAAATACAAATACATATTACATATACAATTAAAGTTACCTGTGGCCTATTTCGTGGGCCAGTATGTATACGGAAGTAAAGCCCGCCGACGGGTACGGTTTTCCAAGCGCGTCCGTAGAACCGAACTCAGCGATAATGCACGAATACTTCTCCGAACAGACACCACCCACGGTCGCCAGGCCTGCAAAATATCAATATAATATAATAATAATAATAATAATAATAATAATAATAATATAATAATCGTCTAAACGATTGGAATATTTAATTATAGAGTAATTTGCTATGTTGCTCAAAACAACATCAAGTATATCGATTTCGTCTTTCGAATATGCTAATCAGCGTAAAATATATCACCGTCGTTGTTCGACATTTGAACTGATGTATAATATTGACATTTAAATGAAAAAACAAAATATTACATAGTATGGCTCAGAGTAGGTTTTGCTAAGTGTAATAAACAATTTCATACCTTTTTTTTTTTATCATACTTTGCCCCAAACAAAAGTGTCTGTTATTTTTAAAGATCGTACAACTCAATAATTATTATAAATTTGTTTTCACTTAACATGTATTCACACATGCTTACATTATTATATTTCATCCACAGCAGATGTACAGAAACATTTAGATTGAATTATATACAGTTAATATAAATGTTTTACATTTAAAAACTTATATTATGGAGAAGAAATACAGAATGACTTTTATTTGGAAGAATGGAAAAATTGTTCGAGGAAAGTCCATAAATATAAAAGAAGTGGTAGCCGACTGAGAAAATCCCTTTTTTTAATTTAGTTTAATGAAGGAAAAAGTATGACAATTTATTAATATATTATGGAAGGCACTTCTACAGTTGGATAGGGTACAAGGGGATTGAACCCCAATTTGAAAAAAGGATTAGGTAGCAGATTATGGTCGGTACGAAGCGTGGAGTATAGCACAATTACTGCGTGACCAACCTTTTAGGCTTCGAACCACGAATGAATGGAGTGTTTAAAAATGATTTTAAAAACATGGGCATATTGATAATTCCGAATGGTTTCTAGACTTCAAAAATATAATACTTAAAAACTCTTAAAATTACTTTATCTAGTATAGCAGATAGAAAGAGTCATGATCGCATCAAATACGGCTTCATGGTATGTTTTGCGAACTATGTACATAACATAGTTTTCTGTGAAAACTGGAAAGTGAAGTAAGCTGCACAATATTTAAATCGGGAAATTCAATGTGTGGTGCCCGAAAATATTTGGCTACAATGATCTTTTTTTTTTTATGTTTACGGTAAATTATTAGAACACTAAAATTTTATATTTATAAGATATTGCGATTGGGCCTCTAATTTAAACGATATTTTATAACTCAATCTGGTATGAGCAGAAGTTTAAATTAAAATTAGAAGCGTTAGAACATTAAAAGCTTGGAAATGAACTTTAATTCAAAAGAATTATATTCTTAATGAAATTAAAAATACGAAGAAGAGAATAAAACCAGATTTGAATTTGTGAAATCTGCTTCGCATTGTTAAAAAAAAAAATAATTAATATATTTTTAAGAAATTGAAAAAAAATATATTATTTGATTTATGTTATGCACTTCCTAGTTATATTTTTATTAAAAACAAAATTTTAAAATTATATCAGTACTGCTGTAATTAAGAATTATATATATATTTGTATATTTTTAAGTTATAGGTACATTTGAGACCCAATCTCCAAATACCTTTTAAAAATATATGTTCTTAATTTGTAGCCTAGTACCAGGATAATAAAATGTAAACACATATTGTTTAAACCAGGTTGGTAGATCGTAGATACAATATAGACCAATTACCAACCACCCAAATGTGGCTTGATATCAGCGCCATACGTATCAGAGCTGCATGATAATACCGGGTTTCTTACTTATTTCTATTATTCTTACACTCACCCATGGTGGAGCCACTCCAGTGTCCGTTTTCCATCGCGTAAAAGTCTAAACTGAAAAAAAAATCCATAATTGAATACCTTTCCTTATAACCGTGACCATAACGTGATATCTAGTTGCAGTGTTAAATTAAAAAAATAAGAAGAATTTCGTAAGATTTAAGATTAACTGAGAGGTGAATTCTCTCTAACTGAGTTCTAAAAGTTGTACTCTTAAAAAAAATTATTGATCACCAATTGTATTAATAGGTAAATATTATGAAACATTTCTAATAATTTACTATTTAGTTACATTGTTTTTGGGCACAAATTTCTTAAATGTATTATATATATTGTATGTATACCTCATAATTTGTTTATCTTTACATTCACGTATAGTATCTATTATTAGTATTTAGTATTTAGTATTTTAGTATTACCAATTAAACTTGTACTCGCTTAAGTAGTGACAAAATTTATTATACTAGCAAGGTATTTGTATACGTTTAACGAAAACAAAGATTCCTTAAACCAATATTTTACCTAAATTATTATAATGTTTGTTTAATGATAATAATATATACCCCGAAATATAGAGTCCGATATCCCATTGTTCTTGTTTTCGGTATTTCTTATTGTAAGCACAGAACGAATCCAACAACGAACTCCTCTCGCCGCCGTAATGTGGCAAGTCGTTGGGTTGTTTTTTGAACATTTCCAGTTTCACCAAGACGATTTCGATTTTTTGTCCCAAGCTCGGATGGTGGTATAGTACTTGAACCTGAAGTGGAAAATTAAGTTAATTTTTAAAACCGTTCCAAAAACAAAACGGAATTCGAAAAAGTAGGTACACAAATATACAACATTGTGAACACCGCTGTCACGACATTTCAATATCGAATCTTTATTTTTCCCATATTATAATCTCATTTATGTGAATACTGTTATGGTGAGTAGAATAATAATTAATGAAGTTACAAAACTTAAGATCATAATATACTACAATAATTAATAAATTATGATATTATGTAAAGTGTCAAGTGGCATTTTTTCGTAAACAAGTTCTATTTAAAACTTTTTTTAAGTTGTATGAGTGTATTATGTTCAAACAAATAAGTAGAATAAAATAATTAAGTTAATTTAAAAATTATCTTTTTTCGTTCAAGTAAAACAAAATAATAACGGTTTATTTAATTTCCGATAGAAATTATAAAGGTACCATGATATAATTTTATCGCTTCACTTATATTTGTTTGTTTTGTTTAAAATGTCTTGTAAAAAACATGATTAATAAAGCTTAAACTAACGAACCGATTCGTTAACATTAAATACAAACAGTTGATGGACGTTATTGTATTGATAATTTTCTCATTTAAGTTAACATTATTTGATAAAAATACCAAGTAGCTTAAAAGTAACTCCATCTTTAATGAAAAAAACCAATATATTTCTTTTAAAATAATTTAAATATGCCAGAAAATGTAAAATAAAATAAATAATACTATATTTAAATTTAAAAAAAAATGTAATTTATTAATAAAATAATTTATAATACTTATTAAAACTGCTGAGTTTATAATATTATATATAATATAATGTTCTTCATGACAATATTTTCATAACTCATATTAAAATATACAATTAACTCTGGCATAGTAATATAAAAGAAAAAGTTCCGAAAAATAAACGATCCCGTTTACCTTTAGAAAGTTTTTATAATTAAAAAAAAAACAATAAGGAAAAATATATACTATGATTATAAATATACATGGTATAATATAATATGTTTTTATTTGATTTAATAAGTCGATAATAAATTAAATGTTGATTAAATATTAGTATTTTGATGAATTTTAATACTCTCGGGGTACATCAAATCTCGTTAAGTCATGCTAATATGGAATATCGGTTGTTGGGTAAATATTTAATAAATTATTTTTTATAATTTTTTTATGTTTTTTACTGCTTTTTGTTTGGAGCGCTATGCGAGTGATGTTGGGCACATCTCGGGGTGACCCGAGATGTAAAATATAAGGTGTGCCACGAATATTAATTATCTTTAAAGTATTCTATCATGATGTATAAATGCTGGATACTGTAGCATCTTAAAAACATAAATTGTAATGCGTACGAAAACTGTGTTTAAATTTTACTAGCCCAAAGCCTAGTTAGGAAATTCATATAATAATATTTCTTAACGAGCGTACGTTATTATTTACGAGATACGTCAATGTTCAACTTTAATTTTCGATTTAAGTCACCGGTGCTGCAAGACTTGACTGCAGTTGTCTTTTTAATATTATACAGAGTGATTTGTTCAATCTCGCATTTTACTAATTAATAGTGAATTTTTTCAGTCTCTGATTTTTAGGTTAGGTTAGGTTTTTCATTTACTTTCCTGAATCTTTTTTGGATTTTACCCTTAATAGTATTTAATTTTCCATTTGGCTTTAAAATTTCATTGTATATACGCCTTATACCAAAAATTATATATTCTAAATTATTCGACATTTTATGTTTAAAATTAAAGTTATCGGTTATTATGTCTTATTAATATGAGATCGTATTGTTTGGCATTGTGTTATATAATATTACAGCATTGTAATTAGCATTATTATTATCTAATTGATTATACAGTGATTTTATTAATATACAATAAAGGATTATTAATTTTATTCGTAAATAATAATTCATCAGACGTGAAAAAATAGTCAGATATCGGACTTACTGTGTCTCAAGTGTTGAAATTATTAATATCGTCTGCCAATACATTTTAATACCGTATAATATTATTTAATTGCATGAAGTCGATGCTACAATACAAAACATAGTAATATACTCACGGCGTTGACGTAAGCGAGTATCATGTCGGCGAGGTGTTCGTCGTCGTGTTTAAAGTACTCCGAAAACGTTTTGTACGCCGCTTCGTCAAAATAGAGCGCCGTCTCCAATACGGGCATTGCCGCTGCCTCCACCGCCGCAGCCGTTCCATCCTCGTCGTATTTCGTGTCCTCTACCTGCTCGACAAAATATTTAATTAAAATCCTGGATGGAGTAAAACGCGAGGGACGGGGAGAAGGAGAAAAAGCGACGACAGCGACAACAAAAAAACCTCACTAATTTTTATACTCACAAAAAGGTCTGGTGACATGAAAGCATAGTTTTCACTGGGTCTTCGCAATACATCTGTGGACGAGAGAAAAAATAAATAAATACAAACTGTCAAGAGGAATATATTGTATTTAAGTCCTGAACGTCGTCGGCGACGAAAGAAGAACGCGAATTACGGAACTTAAAGTTTTTCATTTTATCCTATTTATTTATTTTTCGTTCTTATGAACGCGCCATGTCTTCAGCAGTCCTATCACGCCCGACTGTTCTAGGTAGGTATGTGATATATAAACAGCTGCCATAATATATAATCATATTATACTATATGTATAAGTACATCAGAAGAATTTAGAAACAAGAAACTTATATTGTCACTCCTTAGAAGCCGGCCAAACATGGACACACTTCCTTAAAACGTTAACTTCTCCTGCTAAAATTTTAGTTTATTACACAATTCTTTTATGTACCCCGGGTTGAGCGCCAATTGAACAATATCATTTTAAATTCACTAGTCTTCTTTCCTAATACAGTCTATAAATTTATCAAAACTTCTTATGTTCCTTTAAGCATATATAAAATGGTAATAAGGTATAATATAGGACTTATATAGCCATATAGGTCATAATAAATTGTGCATTTTACACACGAACGTATTATATTATGTATTTTTATCTTTAACCTTATTAACCTGTATAACTCGTCTCAGAGTGGACTAATAACCAACGCTGTTGAATCCCTAACAGATAAATAAAAAAAAACAATTAAAAAAAATTATGATGTTTACTAAATTTGACCATACTATAAAAACGTGCAATTCAGTAAACAATAAGTATTCAATGATAAAATATAATGAAATATTATCGTAATTACGAGAAAGATAAATTTTGGCAAAACATGAAAAATGAAGACGTCATCGAGTTATTAGATAGCAAAAGTCGGTTATTTAATCGTTTAAAAATTATGTTACATAATAATATGTGTTAACATAATACAACATTATTGTAATAAAAATAATAATAATAGTAAAAATACTATAATATTGTACCCGTGTTGTTCGTAATATTATAATGCCTAGTGTTTAAACGTTGGTTTTAAATAAGCGAAAGGGAAAGTAGTGTTAGTGTTTACAATAAGGGTTGGTAAATTAAATATTGTTATATATTTATATGTATGTATTGGTTACTATAGTTTGACTTTTGATAATTATAGGATATAAGATAGAAGAGTTTTATAAGAAAAAAATTGTTTAGGATCTTGGGCCTGTCTAGTCGGACAGCTTAGTAAGTAATTTATTCCCTATCCGGCACTGATATGCAGCACCAAAACCCGAATACATATGATGGGTGCAAAGCACTAGTTATTGTACTACACAAGGGGTTATATATTTATAATCTTAAACATCCATCCAATTATACGCATTCAACCTAGGTCTCAATCACAGTCCATAATGTGGGTTCGCAAACTATGACCCCATATTATGTGTCATCATTTGATTTAAATAACTGTCTTACAATCAGTACAATCACACATATTATACTTAAAATATTTTTTTTGTTATATAATCTATCGCCGAAAATGGAGATCATGACAAAACCCATCCTTCATTTTATTCTTCAAATTGGTTTTGATATTATTTAAAAATGTGCGAGACTGATGTATCATTTTGTTTTTTCCTGTTTACTTATTAATCACGCAATAGTAGAAATATAATATTTTATGTCATTATACATTTAGGGCCGGATTTAGAATTTTGATGGCTCAGGTCTAAAAGGGTTCTGCCCCCCTGGATTTAATTCATTTTTCTTCTTTATCCGATCAAACCATGCTACATATTACAATATTTTACAACTGATTATTTACAAATAAATCAAATAAGAGAATTACTTTTCATTACGTTGAAATCGTATGCGTGTAAGAACAATTTTAATATTTTTTTAAATCTATCGATAAAAAAAAATCCAGGGTAATTTTGTGGGAGGCCTCAAAAAGCGGAGCCCGGGGAATTAATCATTAATTAATTTTCTCAACTCGAACCCTGAGTATATATTAATCAAAACAATAAAAAATAATGGTAAATTAAATTATGAATTTATTACATTTTGCTTGATGCACAATCGTACGTATTGTCATTTTCAGGTTGAAAAATGTTAAAGTGTTCCACTAACTAAAGTTATTATAATTGTTACAGTCGCCAGTCACTCGGTCGGTATAGTAATATATTCGCCATATGTACAGTTTTTGCACGTCTCAAATTTGAATTCGAAATTCGAGTCAGTTACTATAGCGCATGTGTGATTTGAAGAAAACTGTACTTGGAACTTATGTAATTTGCATGCATGTATACCGGAACAACATAATAACGATCAAGCGCTCTAAAATTTAATTAAAATATTTATTGAAGAGAAACTTGTATAATACTATAATTACATACATACATGTTGTGGGGACTTCCGGAAATAAAGAATATAGTACAATACATTTTAATTATAAAATAATTATTGCAGTCGATGTACTTATGTATATTATAATTTATAACGATACGAGTATACACTTATGAATTATTCAAACCATAATAATATTTCTTGGACTGAAATTCCAGAAAAAAATATGGAAACGACAATACGCTACAGTTTCTACGACGTTAATACTGCATTTGTATTTCGTTTAGCGTACGTTTAGAGACGTTTCAGAATAACTGCGTGTGAAATATGTTTTTTTTTAACGCAATTCACGCCCGTTATGTACTTTATAAATATTAAAAAGTTTTCCGCAACGTACTTATACGAGTATAATATATAGATACGTCGAAAACTTAACATCGATTCGATTTTTATATTCGCTCGAAAAGTTGCCAAACATATTATAATACGCAGTAAGCACAGTCTCGTAGTTTTGTTCGTTTGTGTCCTCCCGAATCCTTGCATCACTTTGTTACAGCTGTACGATATTAACACGATATCCATTTATTGCCACTCCCCTACTATAAGATTGTTACGGCTTATGCATCTGTATTGCACATCGTCAGAACTGAACCTGACCGATTATACTTTTTTACGTTATGTTTTTCACGTTCACTAGAATATAATCAGGCACAAGTGATGAGCCGTTTGATGCACGGCTATTGTTATTTTTAAAAATGTGCTGAAAAATCAGGCTTCGTGAGTTTAAAATTTAATATAATCTGTTAACACAATCATTGAATAAACGAAAAAAAAATCTAAGCGTACAAAAAATAGGCGTTTTCATTTAATGTCCTAAAATTAGGTCAAATGTATAATGAAAAAATAATTTTAAGCTAGACCCAAGCTTTCAAATTCAGCAAAGGCCTGTTTACGCCTTTGTTTCATACATATCCGGATAGGTACTTAAAGTTTTTGATTTATTGAGAAATATTATAATCTCGATTTATGGAGCTTACATACTTGATAACTACTAGACCAATCGACAACGATTTTTACACACATATTTCTTGGGATTCGAGGAGTGTTCATAGCTATGTTTATCGACCTCTAAAGGAAAGTTTGCCATAGTGTGGCTCCTACATTAATTTCGTTTTGGCTCACAAAAACCGAATATTATTTTGTTTATAATATATAATATATATTGTTTGTCACAGAAATAAAAGATAATTTTATAGAATCTATACTACTATATAATTTATAAAATAAATGCATGCTTGTTAAATGTGTGCTTGCTTGTTAGTTATTAAGCTAAACTCGACGACAGATTTTGACGAAAATTTAAATTGTTCTTGGAGATATACAAAGCGACCTACACTGACGCTAAAATTTTGCCCATGAACTGAGGTACTCTGAAACTGAGATCGACTTAAAATAAAGCACCGTATTTTATATTTGTTAATTTTTCCAAGGGCGAAGTCAGGTTATACAGCTAGTTATCATGTTTTTTCATGTTCACATTTTTTAAAATGTAATTTTTTAACCTATAGAGTATTATAATTTTAGTATTGTAAACGTCAAAATCAAATTGGTTTATGCTTATTACACAGATGAACGGTGTACTTACTGAAACCATCGGTCCACGTGTGGTTTATCGTCGGCGCTCGTTTCAAAATGAACGCATTTTCACCGTCGTTGTCACACCGATACCGACAAAGCCTGGCACTTACGGACTGCAGTTCGTACGTGACATCTGGCAGGAAGACAATGCCGTTCTGTAGACGATATTGAGTGAGCCCAATTTGTTAATAAATTATACCAACGATTATTGTATTATTATCGACTTTTGAAAAGTCTATAGATAATAGGTTATGAATAGGCTAAGGCAATATAACAATGTATGGGGATGTGGTCTTTATTTTGTGGGAGAAAGAAAATAAATACCTTAATAACAATGTTCTCTCTTCAGTATTGCGTATAATTTAAGGGATATAATCGTCGATTTATTTTAAAATAATGAATTATTGAGCCATATAAATTACCTACCTTTGAGTAATTTATGACATTAATTTTTATACTTATATTAATGATAAATATAAATACCACGCATAAGTTTAAAATTGATATAGTAATAAAGAACCTTTTAATAAGCTGCAATAGCCTTCTTATTATCTATGTTCTGGTCGATAACAGTGCTCACATATGGTACTTACTTTAGAGCTTCCCGGACAGTAAGTAAACGCTGCGGTCAAGCCACCGTCACCAGTATGACTTATCCGGTGCATATAATGACATCGTCTTGGCGACCTTTTCTCGTACGTCACCGACTCCGAATCGTCCCGTATTTGCCACACAAAATCTTCGCTAATCAAACGGTCGTTGGGTTCCAAGAACAACTGGACCAATCTATATTTAATAATACAAAATGTGATATCATTTATATTATGTATACAACACTACAACAGACGATAACCATTACAGGTTAATACATAATATTATATTTTACATTAGTTGGTCATAAAGGTCATAACAATAGTATTTTAATAATAATACATATTTGCAAATAAACGGCAATATAATTTCGATTTACATATAATATTATATTATTATGAGTTTTCTCACCTCATGCAAGCAAAAACTGCTGGGGGTGAGAGGTTTATAAATTATTCAATATATATAATTTAAATCTTTCCTGTACAGACATGATTTAAAAGCTTATATTTACTATAGACGAGAAGCTATTGATCCTAGGGATTAAATAATAAAAGTTACTCGTCGATAAAATTGCATCAATCGAGGCTTAGACTCAAAAATAAAATAAAATATCTTTAAAAATATAATGTTTGAATTGATCAGCAAGAGTAAACGCAATAGATTAATAATTATATTATGATTTATGAAGCTATATCTATTAAACGAACTGGACGAGCTCATATTCAGATCATAATGTCTAGAGGACTGCAGTTGTACACCATAATATACTCTATAAATCTTTAGCAACATTTTTTCTTGCACACAAATTTAAAGCTTTATGGCCTGTGCAAAAACTACGCAGTTCTAATAAAACGGTTCTAACTCGTCCTATTAGTTGGAAAACTTAAGAAAGCATATATAATGGCGGCATTCCTCACGTAACCAAACACGGATACAATGGTTTGTATATACAACAGCATACATTTTAGCTGGTCACATATTTAATTCTTATTTTGTTGGTAGGTATATAACAATATAACATAAACTGATATATGGCATACTGCTTGGTATTTATTTATAATTTGCATGTATATTGGTGAGAGGGATAATATGGTTTGTATTCTTTTTGATATCGTAATAATTATTCGTCGACGATTAGTAAATATTTACTCAAACGATAATATTACATTATGGTGGCAGCACAATCGTGGGTCTTGGTAGACTTCAAAACGTCTCGGGACAAAGCGTACTGCCGCAGGAAACAACTCTCAAGTGGTCAAATTGGGTATAAACGAAGAGAAGAATATATCTCAAGACGGACTCGAAAAAATCCCACTCGAGATAAAAAGAAAGTTTTATTATACAGCTCGCGATCAAAGTGACGCGTTAGGTGTGTATATATATATATTATATGTAAGTATGTACGACGACTCGTGGTGTTACGGGCAAAGAAAGAGTAGAAAAAAAAAGCTCGTGACTAAGATGGAAATGTTTAGATAGGCCAACGAGGCCTATACATATACAAGTTTCAGTGACGAGAAGTATATATATAAAAACGACTCTATCTATGCTGTCGGCCGACTTAAAATAAAAGTGGAGCCATTAAGATAGTGTAATAATAATGAAGCACGCGAAGACGACGGAATGATACGCGTGTGACTGGAATAGATGCAATGACAAAATGTGTAAAAAGAGATTAGATACTAATTATTATTATTATTATTATCATTAAAAAAACAACGGAGTAAATAATGGGTAGAGCGTACGCAAGTGCGCTCTACGATACAAAAATTTGACGTAGAAAAATGTCGTTGCGTAAACGATTTACAGACCAGATGAGCGACGACGACGATACTATGTACCGTCCCTTGGGAAAAATCATCATTACCCTACCCATTTTTCCCAGAGATTTTAATAATATTATCTAAATCAGCATTTTAAATATATAATAATATATTATTATTATTATTATTGTTATTGCTATAGCACACCTACGACGTTGAACAACCCATATAAATATACACAAACACATATTATATACCTAATATATTATTATTATATATGTGTAGATCAAAAGGATGATATTGATGTTTTTTAATCTCGGGTATTCCGTCGCATATTTGGGAGTAAAAACCCCATCTATTTATGACGGGCTAGCCATAAAACCGGACCCCTTGTCCAATTTCGGTTGGTGGAATAAAAAACCACGATGAATAAATATAAATGTTTTTTTCTCCTGTATAGAAGTATATATACCTATATACACTGAAATGGGCCAATTTCATACACTGATACCTCCGAAATGGGTACTTTATCCCCGCCGCAATGCTGTTAATATTTTCTCGATCCGTAACACTATTTTATAGTCGGTCATCTTCTAAATGAATATTGAAAAAATAAAAAAAAATTGGTATTTTTAGTTATACCTAAAATATCAGGAAAAAATTACGTGATCATGTTTCGAAATATTCACGCTGTTTCTCTATTGTTGAACGCACACCATGATCGTGTTTACTTGACGGGAAGCGATTTATTAAAATACGAAATGGAGAAAAGAAAAGTGATTCGATTTTTAGCCATATACCCGAATTTGAAAGTTGTCGCTGTAGTGCAGGGCATACTATAATAGTATATAATATATATTTATGTATATAAATAAGTAAGAAAATCGGATTTTCCCAAGATTTCACGAAATGACGTTTAATGTTACTTTTGAGTTTGAATACGCTGAACAAAATATTAAATAAAATGGAATATCGAACGAAATAAAATTATTTTAAGTTTGGTGGAGAGGAGTTGCACATCGATGACTCGGGGGTTATACGCTATTATATTGGCTGTCACTGCCACTCCTGATGAAGGCATAAATAAGATACATATAACAATAAATTGGTTCGATATTGGATGTATTATTTTGTGTATAAAACGATATGTCGAGAAAAATATTATATTTTTCGATGATGATTATTAAAAAAAAAAATAGGTACCTACTACCTATACATAAAGGTCGTTATATTTAAAGAAATAAAATCGACAGGACAAAACACATCGCACATGAAACGCATTGTGCTTATAACAGTAAAAGTATATAAAGTATTACAAAAAAGGGAAAATATACCTTTATCATATTATTATAATTCGAATTGAAAAAAAAATAAAATCAAGAATTCACTGAGAAAACGAGTCTTGTGTGGAAAAAATAAGTCACCCGGAGTGGTGAACATCTCGTACGAATGTTTCCGATGAGCCGTGGATAAGAGATCGCTATGGAAATTCCGTGTTTATATCTCATCTCTCTCTCTATCTCTATATCTATCTATCTATCTATCTATCTATCTATCTATCTATCTATCTATCTATCTATCTATATCTACGTCGTTTTCACATGTGCTGCTGTGTTTAAAAAAAAATAATTGAAATATCGTTCGAAAAAATCGCAGTAGACGACGTTTGCAAATGTCCGTAATCGACGTTTTTATGAAGTTTTTATGACGTATATGAAACTTTTTTGGCTTGTAACATTTTCCAATAAAATCATTTTCATGCGAATCCAAGCTCCACCATGCAGCACCCCACCGGATGAGTGTATTACCAAATAATTTAATTTTTCATTTCTTTTGCCGGCAATCATAAAAATAATAATGTTCAAATCTATATTTTATAACTTTTAACAGTGACCCATTAGTTTCTGATGAATTCATAAAGTTGTTACTAAAAAACCGATTGACTATCAATAATTATAGTTTATCTATTCCATAAATGTTTTTCGCGAATACAAGCGTTTGAAGATTATACAGACGTGAATACTAAATAAGAATGAACAACAGTTTTATCAGATAAGACATGAACTATTATGATATTGTATTGATATGAGTACTATTTAGTACTATGGCTTAAGAAAACGCGATTAAACACTCGCGTCTTTGCCCTTTCAAAAATAGCGAATCTCATCATATTTTATAATGTTATATAGAGGACGGAATGTATAGTATGAATCGCATAAAACGTTTTTTTAAGAGGCGAAAAAAATCGTCCGGGAAAAAGAGCTCGTTGCTGGTTAAAATAAATCACCCTGTGATGTACGCACGTACCCCCACGTAATATTATAACGTGCTCGATCATTAGTTCCGGTTCCTTGAATCCGCCTCGGACGTTTTTCCCTCACAAGTCGTGCAACACACACACACACACACGTCATTTGAACACGGCACATAGTATTATTATTATTATGTACACTTCGCGGATGAATTTTCCGCTCTTATGATATTTACTCGTTATATTACATTCGCTCGTAGGTACTTGCTCGTCGAAGCTCTGCACGTTTTGAGTAGTCACCATGTGAGGAGGAGGGTGGCTAGGGTGTGTCTACAGCAAGTAGAATAGGTTGTGTAAGTGCATTTTTGAATAGCTGTTAGCGAATCGGGCTTCATTCATTTGGGTGAATGACCCAAACTTATCTGAGCATAATGATTATTTGGGTGAATTCATATTTGTATTTATTGTATATACAGGTACATGTAGCATGTCTTGACCTTAGTAATTAAGTTTACAATATACATAACTGGTATATACGTATTAAAGTATGTAAGTTTATACTCGTATTATTCTGAAATGACAACTTTTATAATATTACATAAATCGTTTCAGCAGATAGGCGACAATAATTATGAAGTGCTCAAAACTAAGACTCTATAAAAACTGAAAGTAAAATGTATTTTACATTTTATTATTGGTTATCCATATACATGTTTAATAAATGGTGTAACAGAAAAAATTGACGGATACAATAATTTTTGTTATCTTTAATCATTTTAAAAAATGTTCATTTTTATTTCTTGAAACTGAAATTAAAATGTTGAAATTGGATAAAAATAGCCAATTTTTAAATCTCATTATAAAAACAATTTTGATGTAAAACACATTTATCTAAGTCAAGTCACTTATTTTTTTATAGCTTTTTAAAATATCAATATTTTTTGGAGTGAATTAATTTAAAATGTAATAATTAACTTTTTTCAAAATATTATTTTCGAGAATTTCCTGACATGAGTATTCTTAAATTATGTATGAGTATTATCTATGCAATTTTCTCAATTTTTGTCATACGTTTAACAAGCATCATTTTTTTTTCAGAGGCCTGTGTAAATTTGGCCAAAATTATGTTTATAAATTTGCTCAAACGTTTTGAAATGTTGGGTTGTTCACCCAAATGAAAGGGACCCACTAAGTTTTTTTTATATTTTTGTTTTCATAATAGGTAATTGCATAATATTTTAGAATCAACATTTATATTACACATTTTGTTAGAGCATATTTTATAAGAACAAGAATTCTTCAACCCCTATAATATAAAATGTGCTGATTATTATTTTTTTTTTTTTGAAAAGGTTTTACCGCTTCCGTTTATTATGTGGTATAGGTAGGTATTTTATAAAGCGAAATGGAAACACAAGAATGTTGACGTGTTCGAGGATAAGTCTGATGAAATTTCGTCTGGTAATAATTATATTATATTTATCGCAAAAAAAAAAAATAGACTCGTTGGAAGTAGTACTAATACAGTGATATTAATAATACTATATAGGTAGGTACCTGCCAAAAGCAAAAAACGTGCAATCCGGTCGGTCCGCAGGATCAGACAACGTGACCACCTCGTACTCGGGTGCGTCCGCTGGATCGGACACTCCGAAGTAATAGTTCAGCTCGTCTACCGTCATCGCATCGTGTAAGCCCTGTGTGTGTGAAAACAAAAACAAATATAAAATATTATATAAACTCGTTATTATTCCGTGTGCGTAGTAGACGAGCCGTCGTCTTTTCATTAGTCCTAAAACAGTCGCAGATGATGGCCGGCCGACCGGCCGTCTCGGACTTACGAAATAATATTATTTAATAATAAATGTATACCTAGCGAGAAAAAAGACATTCCAATTTCCTCTGTAACCGGCGTCTTGCGGTCTAGTATTCTTTAGTTATATCTTATATAGGTACCTACTTACACGTTATAATATAATACGAATGAACAACGATCAACTCAAAATAAAACTATTGCATTTTCAAATTTTCAAAACTGAACGACAGGGCTCGCTGCGACAACAAAGAAGTCACAATACTTACGAAATTGTCTTTTCCGTGAAATCATTTTCATGGAAGAAATACCTTTATGTAGGTACAAGTCAACAACATACAAATCCGATTATTTTGTTCTTAGCACGGAGACAGGTTGTGCAACGAACCAATAGAATCTGAAGCACAAAGTTTACACACTGCCGAAGTGGCCGTAAAATTATCTTGTCTCGAGGGTGTTGGTAAAATTGTGTTAAACTTTATTTTTCCGTAACCGCTGCCGCAGTGCTGGTAAGAATAACAACTAGCGCTCAAGTGGTCGATTTTTTAATCAAATACTTTTTCCTTTAAACCACGGAGCAAATTATCATTGACCAATAACCATTATTGTTATTTGAATTTAATACATTGATGGACATTTTTAAAGACTATGATTTAAAATTTTTAAATAATTATATAACTCAGGTACCTACAGCTTATTTTTTTTAAAAATTAATACAAATTAACTTGCTACAAGTTTTGACACAAAATCGGTACTGGGAAGAACACAATATTTTCAGAATTACATTTCGAACATGGTAGGTACTCTGTATGACTACCTCAACAATTTGTTCAGTTCAAAGATATGGCGCCTAACAGTTTGACAAATGTATAAAGCATAATATTGCTCCCGGTTTCTCTGTAGTTTCTTTAGCGATATAGTTGACTGTTTTTTTCGCCGTTTGCTTTCGCCTTTTTGTAATAGGTAAGTGCGCTCGTTGACCAGTGTCGTTTTTGAGTAGGTCTGCCCAAAAGTTGTTCCCCTGTGGGATGTTTTTGTGATTCGTTTGATTACACGGCCGCCGTCTAACGTGAGTATTTTTAAATTTGTTATCGGTTCAATGGTCGTGGTAATCGGTCTTGATATATTGTAAGCTGCAGATATAACTATGTATATATATATAATACAAATGCAGAATAGCTGACTTGGCTTATTTAATATTAAAGTCAGTAAAATGACTGATTTTTGTAATCAAAGAAGTTTAAAATGTGTTGGGATGTATTAGGACAACAATCGAAATAAACAAATAAATTTGATTTTATATATTATTTTAATCGGTTCTTCTCAATGACGAAATTTTAAATGTCATATTATGTACCTCGTTGATTTCAAACATTAAATTTCGGGTAAAAAAAGTCGGCTATCAAGTTGTATATTATACATAAAATACTTTACCTATTATGATTTATGAGTTGATGACAATACGCGTATATTATTTAATGTCTAAAAATAAAATTGATTAACACTTGCTTATCGTTTAAATTTAATGTTCACTGTTAACAACCTGAGGTAGGTATACTTAGACACTTCTGGCTGTTGGTCAAAAATTATTAGGAGTTGGTGCAATAGATAATTGTATATATGCTGTAAGTTATACCAATATATTATACTTATTTACTTCGACTTCTCGCGGGACCGACCGAATACATTTACGGACGAAAGATAAAAATATGAAATCGGCATTGAAAACGTTTGGCAAAACAAACGAGTAGTCTGATACAAGTCAGAGGACGAGTAAAATATAATTTATTGTTCAGTTATTTTATCTATCTGCTTTATACCATAGTTAAAATAATATTGTTAGTAAAGTTTTTATTTTTTATTATTTTTATAAACGTTATAAGATAATAGTAATAATAATAATAATAATAATAAAAATAATAATAATATTAATATTTATATTACCTATTACTATTTCGATCGAAGAAAATGTTACGCAATAACAACAACGACTCTTTTAAAAGTGTCTTATTCGTAATTATCATATACATATGCACACGAATGTATTCGCATTGTAGTTCAAGCGGTGTTAAGTTTTTTTTTGCTGTTCACTTAGTCAAAATATCATTTTTTGTAAACGTTTCGTACAATATTTTTCTATACTGAAAATAAATCTTAATGGATTTATGTATTATACTTGCCCGGAACGCATAATTTATATATCACGTATTATTTAAAACGCATTTTATTCTTTCTGACACTTATTGTACATGCATTTTATTTCTTAAACCTTTTTCAAGGTCTTAGCTGGAGAATGGCGATTAAAAAAATGCATATACAGGGTAGTTTTATTCATGTAAATGGATGAAAGCACAATTTGATCTTAAATATCTAATGGAACGAGCGTTCCTAAAATATCACAGCCCAACCATACACTCACGAAGACGAATAATTACAGCTGAAAAACAGATGAAGTGACCACGAAGTTTATCAAAAACACCCTTTCACACGTGGAGGTTCTGAATAGAGGTATAAAGACGAAGTAACAACTTACGAGTGTCCTACAGTCTGAGGCGGAGTGGAATTCAAACGTCGAAAATAGAACAAGAATATGCTTTACGAAAGAAAAAAAATTAATTTTTCGTACAATCTCACGTGATAGTTATATTATGTAAGAAGAATTTTATTTTACTGTTATAATTTTTTTTTTAATGTATGGGGTTGTGATGAGATTTCAAATCAAAAGTTAGGGGACTAAACAGACAAAAAAAAAATAATTTTATAATATTTCGGCATGTTCAAATCTTCCCTGGTTAGTACACCACCAACCTCAGTGATGAGATGTATCACCACGAATTACTGCGTAGAGCTGGACATTCCGGGCAGGGAGAGGGTAGGGCACTGGTCACAAAGTTGTACTGTCTTGTACGTACGTTTGCGAATGTAATGCTATCTATAGTGATCTACAACATTTACTACATTTCGTATTTAACTTTTATGAACGCATATTATATTTATTTAGAGACTTATGAAATATGAAAAAAAAAATTAAAAATTAAAAGATTAATAAACAAATAATATTATTTAAATTTGGTTTCTATATATTTTCTATTATGCATCTATTGTTATACATCACATTATTTAATATGGGTCGCGTATGTTCAGTTTTAATGTGTGACAGAAGAATGAATGAAAGTCATAATAATGAAAAGGTTACTTTATTTTCAATACCTAAGTATGAATCTATCCGTAAATCGTGGACAAATACTGTTAAAAATTGGAAAAGTAATAACTTTAATTTTTAATACTTTCATAAACATTTTAGTGATGCCAAAATCATCAAAACATTGGAAGGGCAAAGTAGCAATAGTAAATAGGTATAAGTTAGTAAATACTAATAGAAAATCTCTACATTTTGAAAATTATTAGTTATTAATCAACACTAAATTAATCATATACATACTTTAATTAAAAAGTATTTGGTTCTTGATTGGTTAGGTTAAGAATTGGTACCAACGTAGTACTGTGCATTTATTTAATTGTAGATACTGTTGCTCTATAGTTTCTAAAATAGGAAAGAATAAATATAAAGTCTAAAAAAATTGACATGATTTGAAATTGTTATCACTACAACTTATCGCATAAAGGAATTTACAACAAGCTAGAGTGCTGTTACGCAGCAAATATACGACCACCGTACAACTTTGTAGCCACCTTATTTTACACAGATGTCCAGTCCTATGTAGACAATGTCTAGACATGTATAGTAGTTCATGGTTAGTACGTAGATGGTAGATTCGTGGGCTTAACCTCTATACTATTGGCTCCATTTAATCGTTGTTTAGTTGGTCCTCGCTCCTCTGTTACCTTATTATTGCATTCTATTCCCGAGAATCGCAATAACGACTGTGATGAACCTATTGCGTCTCATACACGCCATGCGTTGGGTGACTATAATGTATAATTTTTAATTGGCACGACTGAGTGGTAATTATTTTTACTGAGATTTTAATTGGAAATAATACCCATTTGGCGTAAAATTCAATTATCAATAAAGACAAAGTAGACACATAACTTCCGGTGTGGGAATTTTATCAGGTGTGTGGAACGAGGTATAATAATTATATAATATGATATTTTCTATTATTTTTGCTCTATTATATAATCACGCTTAATACATTTAACTGTCAGGGATAGATAATAATATCAAACTCGACAAACGAGAGTCTGCAACATACAAGCTCAGTTTATAATTGACAAAAAAATAGAGCAAATTATTACCATTTATTGATCAACAATTAGACTAGTTGGATCGTTCAGGCTAACCTATATAGATATACCAATACCGATGGCAAAGCGGAGAGACGTAGTGGTTAGCTGAGACAAAAACGAATGTAAATTATAAAATATAATTTTATTCAAAGTCAAATGATGTACTTATAGAGTAAAACCCGTCTTTTTTCACGATTGGACTAGAAAAAACTTATTACATATGAATTCCACAAAGCATAATTTTTGCAATAAACGTTGGTGGTCTTGTTTTGTTTGTAGGTATAACATATATGCCTTACGGTCGATGATGTACACAAAGTTATTGGCCGGAAAATGTCGTCTCGTTTCCCTAATGATTGGGAAATGTTGAAATTGTATACATTCATCGGTCATTGACATCAATGGCCAGTTAAGTGGAACACAATATTACTGAAGTTGAATACATATTCATACTATGAAAGATGATGCATCGGTAAAAAAATGTACTTTATATAGGGACACCCAACTTGTTATGTGACAAAAACGTAAAAGTTGACAAACTAAAAGTTCCCTGTAGATGTCAAAGTGTGTGTCTACAACTTATAATAAGTGCTCCCATGTCTCTATACCTGATTTCTATACTGCTTGAGGTTCTCCACATATTTTTCTAGTAGTTATTATTATTTATTTACAACGCAATTTGAATTTTATTTTATTTTTATTTTTTAGAATAAGTAGCTATCCATATTCATATCTGGTTGTGACAGTTAAAAATGGGTTTGCCATGCAGCGATGCCACTCTAAATGCGTAATAGTGGTAACAAATGTGCAGATAATTAAAAACAATAAACTTTTAGTTAGTATAGTCACTATTATTAAATACCGAGCAAGTGTGTTATATTTGACCACATATCTTTGAAATAAATGTAATTTGAACAATATAATATTTCCCTTTATAATTGGATCATTGACAACGTTTCCTGTTCCCCATTAATCACTTTGACCGTAACGTGATTGTAACGTCTTTATAAATAAAAGCACAAGAATCTGCAAAATAGGTTTTAAATATTTGAAACGGACAAAATATTGAACACGTGTGCTGCAAATATTAATTTTTTTTCGATATTTTCAACTTAACTAACGGCTTTTGTGATATTTTAGATTATTGTCAAAAAAACTTTGTTTGGAGCGCCTATGGCTTGTAGTTTTATGTTATAATTATAAGAAATATTGATATTGGTCATAGTGTTCATCAAGCATGCCAAATCCAGTTTTTTCCTTTAACGATGTATTGATTCAAATTCTGATTTTTGAAATTGTTAAATATACTTAAAGACCATGATATCTTTAAATATTCAGATTTCATATGCCATTTTAGAAATGTTCTGGGACCAGCTGTGACGGTACTAGCTTCTTTTTTTAAATGCGAATTACCCTTTTTTATGTAAATTATTGTTGAGCAGATGACTTTTTTGAAATTATTATTTGTAGGTCTGTGATAATGTGTTTGGATGATATGGGGATTGTGACAAAACTATATTGGGAAAATTTAGTTATTTATAACAATTTATCAATATTTTAAAAGTACTATAATTTTTAAATATCATTGTCTTTACTCGTATAATATACGTTTCAATAACTTGAAAACCACTCGTTCGAAGTTGTTTTAAATATAACAATCGTTCGCAAAAACATAATCTGCATTGCAATTATCAGTAAAAAAAAGTTTAGTTCGCATGCATTTGAAAAAAAAAGTTTGTATGACCTCAGGAAACTATTCAAATGGTGTATCAAATCTAAACAAATAAAAATATATCACGGTAATTAAACATAAACAATTTCCAAAACTTAGAATTTGAATAATTTTATTGTTAGAGAAAATAATGGAGGTGAGAACGCTTGGTGAATCACTCTGTACATAAATACGTATATTTTATACACCAATATAATAGTGAAGTTACCCCTCATACCCTTCGAATGGAAAATTGTTCATTTTACAACACAGGCGTATTATATTATTACGTTCTAAAGTTTTAATGGTCAAGCGAATGTGAAAACTTTTTTTTAAATCAAATGATTTTAAGGCAATAACAGTTACAAACACCTTTTTCCTGCAGTGAGATCTCAATGATTATTATTACTATTATATTAAAAACAAAATTATATCGTACATAGGATATCACATTTTCCGATCATATAAAATGTTCTGAAAATATAAGGCAGTTCAAATGCTTGTAAAACACATTAAACGAGTAAACTTAAAGTGGGTAAATAGAAACAGTTTTTCACATTTAAGTCGTTATATCTCTGCAGGATTTAAAATATGCACAACGTTTTCAAATACAACAAAATTTGGGTAAACAAAGAAGATGAGATATACGAGCGGGACATTTGAATATACGTGACATTATTGCAGACACTTGGTTCCAGGTATATTTACTAGCTTTGAGATGACAAACTATATTATGATAAAGGTATCTAGTATATGATAATATTTTGCTGACAGGTGTTCAAATTGAATTTAAATTCATAAGTTGTTTTTATTCATTTATATAGATGCATAGCTATAATAGTAGCAAGGTGTAATATATCACGTACTTAATTATATATCAATTGATTTTTTTACATTTTTGTTTTTCTACAACGTCTGTCATCGTAAAAATATTAGGCAAACAATTTCAATTAATACATCATGGCAGTATGTAAACACTATGTTTATAATTTCAGTATCATATCTACATATAAATTAATTTATTATTAGTATCAATTTTTATTTTATGATTGAATTGTTCGTAAGGACGCAAAAAGTTTAATATTATTTATTTAAAAGACCTTTCCAAATAAACTCTATTAGTTTTTTTACAATATTTAATATCGTAATCATCCAGCCGTAATGCTTATTGACTAAAGATCAATATAGGTAGGTAATAATACAATTATCCATGCACGCGGAATGGTTGTACACTTGTAGACATACATTAAATATTGTACAAAATATTATAGGAGATGAATAAAAAATGGGTAAGCCAATTGACGTTTTATTGTATTCACGGTTGTAATGATGAAAAACTAAAAATATACTACATACCTAATAATAACGTATTAGTCAATCGATGGTAAATTAAATTTATTAATTCGATATTCATTGCCATAATATAAGCTAACCAACGCTACATAAATATAAATACTATTAGGAAACGATATAAGTGTGGAGATGTTAATTTCAGAAAGATAAATTAATTAAAATAATAGTTCAAATATTTCAAAAATAATATATTTATTTTTTCATATTCATTCGACCTAAATCATTACACTTGGTCAAGTCATAGGATATATTATGCTCAAAAATCCTAGTACTTATCATAATTTAAGTTTCTTCCTTCTCAACAGTCATCTGTATAAATTCAAATGTAATGCTTTAAATTATTTTTTTTCGAGAACATTAAAAAAAAAGTTTGTTTAATTTCATTTTTTAGCCATTTTTTTTTTTATTGATATTCATTTAAATTTTTCAAAGTATTTAAAACAAAATAATTAAATTATATGTACATTTATCAAGTTAGAACCGGATAACATTTTTTTTTAGTTAAATTATGCAAAAAATTAAAAATAATCACATATTTATCTAAACCAAACCTTATTGTAAAATATAAATTTAAGTACGTTTAGATTTTTTTATAATGGACGATAGCTCATAACCATATAGTTTATGTATCATACCTATATTTATAACACCATAATTTACAGTTAAATTTTATTTTAGATAACTGTGGAAAAAATGTCATTTAAATATTTCGTTCTACGCCTGCACGCTGAGATACTGATGACGATACCTATACTGAACTTTGAGGCACAGCTGCTTTGCACATTGTCGGTAGCTATAGAACATCTGAACATACTAGAACATACGACGGACGGGCGAAGATAAAAATATTATAACGATGTGTATTAGTCCGCGGACTGTGGTATATATCATCATATAAATGGTAACATACATAAGAGTCGACAAGCATCCCCTAGCTAATCATCTCAGTTAAAACCCATAAAATGATGAGGTAGGATTAGTGGTGAGGACTTAAACCATATTTCTATAGTTTACGAACGTCTTGCATCTATTACCTGGTAAATGTCGCCTAGACGCATGGACGAACAGACTTGTATAAACTGCGACAGTGTACAGCAGCAGAACGCAAACCCAACGGCGGTGGAGGTCTTCATCGTTCAATGTCCGTACGCGGTTTGTTCAAAAATTGGTAAATTCCATGTGCCGCGTCGTCGGAGTCAGCGAGTCCATGGACTGAGCACCTCCCGTAACGGGAAAACGCGAACGATTGGACGGAAACAATATGATATTATAATATTAAAAACATTGTGTTTATGAATACCATGTGGGTCGTTTTGGCATAGGGAATGCGATACCGATTTCAAGTCATGGAGGTAAGATAATTATAAGGTAGGTACCAGTCATATATTATTTTGAATTATTTTATGACGTTGATGCAGCTGTCGTCGGTACGTCGCGACGTGGATAATAGTAATAAAAACTGTTATCTGTTATTTAAAAACGCAGTGGGAGAGGGGGGTGCGGTGATCATGAATACACGGGTTTTCGGGGGACGCCCTATCCTACGAAACTATTTGCCTGCATAATTAATAATAATAATAATAATTACAACTTTTTTATTGGAATGGCGTTAAAATAAAATTATTATAATTTTAGTACACCCATATATTTTATATGGGTCTACAACACGTGTCGTAGTTATAATAATATATGTTATAATGTATTATTATTTTGGGTTTTAGAGGCTGAAGAACATAATTATCATATTATTATTTGTTTACCTATTATACGGGTGATTACTGTAGTGGTGTAAGTCGATATATTGTTAGTGAACATATTAATTAAATTTTTTCGATATTCCTGCGATTCTTTGAGTAAACGAAAATGTAATCTGTCGACGAAGAACAATTTTCTTGTGTTCTTCGGTTCGTCTAGAAAATATAATATTAAATTTTAATTTAATTTAAGAACTTTATAATTGCAATAAAAAATGTTTACAACTCAATATAGCTATTAATTCCACAGATAAAGTAGATGGCTAAAAGCTTCGTCTAAAAAATATAATACGGTTGTTCAGACGTAAGCGGCTAATTGATAATTATTTTCACTTGCGTAGAGTGATAATATTACTTCACGAAACGTCCATCTCATTCAAAATTGTTTTAAAAAATTGTATTAGGTATTAAGTTATCGAACATCAAAAAAAAAAAAAAAACAAAAATCTATATTCCCCGCTGTCTGTATAACCTCGCTAAAAGTTTAGAAAGAGACGAGAGAAGTATATATTAGGTCGGCACACACGATTATACAAACATGGTTCAGATTTCAGAAGTAACTTTCTTTTAGACATAGCAGACATATATTTAAATATACATATAATCATATGGGATGAACTACCGCTTAACCTGCTGACTGCTTATATTATTGTCCAAACTTAAAACTTCAAAATAAACCTATTATAGCAGCGGATTCTATAAGTTATAACTACACCTGGTGTATCTTATGTTTGTGTAAGCGGGATTTTTTTAACGATTATGGATCGATGATATGAGAGTTAGAAAAAAAACCTTGTTTCTTTACTTTTAACAGGATATTTTTTTTGTAACAGTTTCAAAATTGTTGTACAAACTGCAAATTCAACTTTATTTTTGCAAATTGTAACAACTATATTTTTTAATTGTTTCTGGTAAAGCTTTTTTTCTGAAAATGTTGGTAGTGAAATCATCAATTTTGGTTCACTAGTCTATTAACTATCATGGTCCTCTTAAGTTTAGTAAATGCATTAATACTTTGAATTGAAATAATTAGTATAAATTTAATTTAAAAGACCTAAGCATTTTTTCTTTCAACTATCTATTGATACACTAAAATCGGTCATCTAATGAGACTCTCCCAACAAAATATTGGGATAAATGCTAATAAAATTGTTTTGCAAACATTATTCATTATTTTTATTTGAACATAAAATCGTCAAAATAAGTATTATCATAATCGTATTTAATTCGTTACTTTACATCTTTTTAATTACTTTTCTTATGATAGAAAAAATTTGTATTCTTCGATATGTGTTTGAATAAGGTGATAATCGTTTGGTAGTTTAATGGAGTTCAATCATTGGCATTAAAATGACTTATGTATGGAGGTAAAAAAATGTTTTTAGTGACGAATTATCATTTTTCAACTCTGCAGAAGTGAACTCAATACTGTCGTTATTAGTCTCACTCAAATTAGTAATTTCCATGTCTCGTGACAAGGAATTCCTTAATATTATTTTTTCGATTAATTTAATTCCAACGTTGAGCTATTATGAAGTGAACCATATATTTGAATAAATATTCAATACCAGTATAGGTTGGTACTTAATTAATCACTATTAATTACAGAATTCTATTAATAGTATTAAAAACATGTCTCTACTTTTGGAAAAAATGAATTTATATGTTTTATTTTTTTTATGTCAACAAGTAAGTATTGCAAGTTTATGATAAAACAATAACAAAAAAAATGTTGATAAGTTGAAAAGTAAATATCCAAAAGAGATAAAGGGGGATGTATTTCAACTCCTAAATTCATACTTTGCACATGTGAGCCCATTATAGGGAAGCTATGGTTCAAATTTCAAGTTTATATCACCACGGGAAGAGCACCAAAAATTATTTTTTTCGTTATACAAATATTTTTTTGACCTTCATACAAAATACATTTTAATGTCAATAATCGAACTTCATCTTAATATTACACAATTATGTAATAATTACCTTAGACTTAGCCAAATATTAAAGAATATATTATATTTTTGCTATTACAAGAAAAGTAAGTGACAATGATGAAAAAAATGTAAAGTTATTAATTACGATTATAATAATAAATTACAATAATAATTATTATTTTGATGGTTGTATGTTAAAATTAAAATAATGCTTTTTGTTTGCCAATAATTTTGTAGGCATTTATCCCAATATTTTTTCAGGAGCGTCTCGTTTAGCTGACCGATTTCAGTATAACTGTAATTTGATATGATTGGGGATGGTGACCGAGTGAGGTAAATGTCAATAACTCTTTACAAAAATTAAATCATATAGGTAATAGCTATTATGCCTTATAATGTGATAGGCAGGGTCAGGATTTGTATGCAATAAAAAATTTTAAAAATGTCCATTTTATTTACCAAAATATGTAAAAATATGCTTTAAAATTTTTATAAGCTAAACACAAAAATATAGTTACAAAAAAAATATTTATCTATTGAAATGCATCAGTGATTAGCTGTTTGTCTTAATGTAATATAACTGAGAAATAAAATAAAATAAATTAATTTAGAAATACAGTTTAAAATTCACATTTACTACTTTTGTTACATGCTACGACTATATATTTTTTTAAATTTTCGAAAATGAATGATTGGTGATTGGATCGTAGAATGGCTTTGTATTGACTGAATCTCAGTTCAAAGTCACATACATTTATTAATCATGTTTATCTTTCTCCGTCAAACTATTTAATCTTTTATCGCATACCTTTTGTACCATAGGATTGTATTTATAAAAATAAAATGTATGTTTGAAAAAAAAAACAAAGTTTTATACTTTAATCAGCCAGGCTAGAATTAAATACGAAATATTACGAAATATACTATAAAACATGCATTTTCGCATTTTTATAATAGAAATATGCAATAATATCCATTTTATTCAATATATGCAATAATATCCATTTTATCCAAAATATGCAAAAACATGCGAAATAAAAATATCCCCATTTATCTCATCACAAGGTGATTCATGGATATTACTGACAAAATCAATAATCAGAAGTCGCAAAAAAAAACATGCTGTTGCATATAAATCCTAGCCTTGGTGATAGGTATTAAATATTGTAGTTTCCGTAATTTATAAGTATTTTTATGAGTTGCTTTATATAACTTAATTTTTTATTCAGGCCCGATTTAAATTAGCCAATAGCATAAACTAACCCCATGTAGGTAGTAGGTACCTATTATTGGAATATTTTAAATCCTTCAAGAGTTCAAACATAATAATTACTATATTAGAATTATTACGCCGTTCACGATTCCCGATTTTTGGTGGGAAAAAATAAAGTTGTGTTATAAACGTCCGGGAACTTGCTTTATATAAACAAATTAAAAGTATTTAGGCACACACGTGTAATGCTTGGTCGCAGGTACCTGTTAATTAATATATATTAATATATACTTTAGTGTTGCGTCGGTTCGAATAATAATGTCTAAACTTGTGTTTTCGTACTAAATTATAAATTATAATAATATGTTTCCAAAATGTTTCAGTAAACTCCCGCTGCAGTACCTAACTAGGTATTTAATACATTTACTAAGAAATCACACATCAAATAATATTATAGTCGCTTTCTTCGGTCAAAGGTATGTATTCAGATTATTCAGTTCATTATTATGTTATTCTTAGTATTACACACGGATACTGGGATACGTCAAACGTGTTATAACTTATGAGGGAGGTTTATAATGTCCTTAAGTCAACACTCAAGTTTCAAACAAACGCTTCAAAACCGTGAAAGAATCGCGTATCTTATTCCGATCATTATTCGAGAGGGGAATTCAAATACAACGTGGAGTTGAGTTAGGTTAGTATTTAGTAAGTAGGTTGAGTAAGTCGAGTAAGTCTTGTTCATTCATATTCGCCTTTTAAAACAAAACTAATTTAACTGGAACATTGATTATTATAATATAATTTATCATAGTTTATACTTTATATGATTAAATAGCATGTTTGGCTTATTTTTCCTACATAATGAATTCATTCTATTTCTAATTTTCGAAACTTTTTAAGTATAAATTCTTGATGACTATATTTCAATAACTTAAATTCTTATTTACGGAATAGTCGGTACTCCTGTGGCGACAATAATTCATTTTTCAATTTAAAATCAAGCCTTTTTTACTGTTAATTGTTAAGGAAATGATTTTTTTGAAAATGTTAATGTGTTCAATTTAAAATTTGAAGTAGTTTTTAAATTATTGAAAAATATATATAAATATGTATCTAGTATCTATATACAGGAACAATTTTTGCAAATTATAAAATATTGAAGGATTGTTATCAATTACTAAATTTTTCAAATCAATGAAGCCCCCATATTATCCAAGCCAGTTATCGGGGACCTATTTTCCTTAGTACTCAAAGATTAGGTACTCAAAAACTACTGCTTAGAATTTCGATTTTGATAAATAAACATCCACAGGGCACTACTTAAATGGTTTAAATAATCTATGTATTTTTAATCATGGCTCAACATAATATTAAAGAACTATTTTTGATACCGAGGGTTACTATACCCAAATACCGTACAACAGTGTAGAACACACACTGCAAGTATGAGTCTTTTAATATTTCTCATGATAGACATTTTTATGTATTTTATTGTAGCAACATTTTTTTTTTCAATTTCTAACCAAAAACAATTACTACCACCAAAAATATATCCTGATAAAATACTGTGAACAAATACTTTTAATCATTCTTACCAATCACTAATTGAGTCTAAAAAAATGTTGGTAT